ATTTCAAACAAATGAAATTCTGCGAAGCTCATCATTTTTCCGGACATGCAATCAAGCTTTTATGCCGAACACTGACACGCACGTATATTTCTGGTATATCTGTTACTAATCGGTGGAATAGATAATTTTATCAGAGCTAGTATATCTGAAACAGTAAAAAACGTGTTTGTAATTACATGTAATTTCATTTCAGGTAAATTACAAGTTTTATGCATTATCAATTTTTACATAGAGATAGTTATGTAGATAGATATAGATACATATATGGTTGAAAGATATGTTAAAAATCAGGAATATTTTGCCCCTTTTTTGATTTGACAAAACTATTCTTATATAATATAAACACTGGTGAAGTGATTTTATAAAGATATTTTAATATTTAAGAATATTTTTCTCCCTTTCATAAGCTTTGATAAGACTATTAAAAATATAGAGATATGAGAATTTAATATAAATTAAAATATATTATTTAATAAAAATGATTTTAGAACTGAACTGTGAATATTGAAATTTACTTCAGTTAAATTACAATTATTATTTATTATTCTCATTCTTATTATTTTACATAGAGTTATGTATGAATATATGGAATTTAAAGATATTTCAATTTTTAAAAATGATATTGTAACTTTTTGCTGGCACTTTCATAACCGTCTTGAAATATGGTTATTGTTGAAATAATATTGAATAATGCATAATTTCATTTCAAATTATTATTTTAATATAACCTCTATGCATCACACAATCATAAATCTTTAACTGAATAAAAAGTGAAATAGGTGTGTGCAAAGGATGTAGAGGAAAATATCAATATTAATATAAAATATCAATATTAATTGATGAAGTTTCTTGAAGAACTATAAAATACCGTCCTTTAAGTTATCGTCTATTAATGCATAATAAATTTTAATAAATCTATGAGGGTTTCTTTACTACAAAATACATAATAAATTTTAATAAATCTATGAGGGTTTCTTTACTACAAAATACTGTTTACAATTATTCAAATCCAATTTTTTAATAAAAATGTAAAAAAATTAAATAAAACATAAAATATGTATTAATTTAGTAAAAATGTAGATATTTGTAATTCTGTACTAAATAACTATGATATTTAATCTGGGATGGTATTAAATTAAAAAAGTTCTCGTGTTCAAAGATTTCTGAGTCAATCATCGTACTTCCAAACGTAACTTTATGTTATTAAGATTTAATTAAAATTAATCTGCAAAATGGAATAAATGTCTGATATATGATTCTTTTGATGTAAAACGTTCATAACATTCCTTATATTTAATTTCTGAATATGCATATAAAAAATGAATATTAGAATTGTATTTTTCGGAAGTTCTTTCGAAGCCTCCGTTTTTTATCAATAATTTATATCTGAATTTTAATGTATTATATATTAGTTTTTTTTAGTTCTCAAAATTATTAATATTTATTCTATGCAAATATAAATTGTAGTAAATATTTATATAATTTTTTCTAAATAATTTTTTGGAAGACAAACAATGAATTCATTTCATTTTTAATGCAAATGGAATTAATAAAAAGTGTTGAAATGAACAAAAAAAAATTTTGTTTGTTTAAACAGTTCATAAAGAAAAAAACATGTCATATTTTCAAAATGTAGAAATAATCACACATGCAAAATTAAAACAATTTTTTTATGAAAAACATGAAAATAGCTATTTACAAAATTAAATATATTACAAGGATTCATATAACAATTTTGAGTATGGGTATTAATTATAGATATTTTATTTTCAAATTGTATTAAACATTTTATTACTATAGTTTCGGTTCAAATTGAGAAGTATTTACAATTTGCATGCGAAAAAACCTGTAAGTAGATATGGATTGCAGATCGAGTAATTCATTATATTGCTTTAATATCTTATTAAGTTAATATTTAAGGCTTTTTTATGTTCATTAGAAACTTTCAAGATTTTTGTAAAATATTGGAGAGAAAAATCTAAATTTTATAAAATAAGTGATGATTACATTGCTAACGTATTATAGACCCTCTCTTTTTTTTTTTCTTTTTTAGTTTGTATTGTAATATTCATGTTTTGTACTATATTTTCATACACCACTGGGTATAAAAAATAACATTATATTATATTACTCACAATCTCAATTATAGTTGTCAGCAGTGGCGGCGCTAGACCATTTGTCGGCGTCGGCGAAATTCGTTTGCGAGGCCCCTCTTTTTTAAGGACTATCACTAAAACTTTCCGTGCTGTAATTTAAATGTTAAAAAAAATCTGAAAACTTTGGAAAAAAAATTAATTTTTTGAAAATTGAAAAATTGAAATAGGATTTTTTTTTATAAAAATTAACTTTTTTTCTAAATTGAGATATTTTTTATTTATATTTTGAATTTTTTTGAAAATTTCGAACTTTTTTTCAAAGCAATCACGCTTCGTTACCTCCCTGAGATGAAATATCGAAGCGCGTAAGCGCCGCGTCGTGGTCTAACGCGGAACATTGGTACGGAATGCATAGAAATCGAAACAAAATTTGTACTTATTACTAAAATCTTTATAAAATATCTGAAAATTCGATGCGCGTATATCCAATGATCATTTTTGTCGACCAAATAGCTTTTCTTTTCCTTTTTTTAATGGATCTCCAAAACCGCTTGACCTGTCTTTCTAAAAATTTAATCAGTTTTGTTACAAAGTTAAAAACTAATTATTGTTAAACAAAAGTATCAGATATATTTTTAATCAGATAATTACACAAATTGAAATATACAAAAATTGCACAAGTTAAAATGAACAAACTCTTCGGCAAAAAAAGTTCGTTCATCAGATCTTAGTAAAACACTGAAATTAATTAATTATCCCGAAGAAGTTTCTTTTTTGCCAAATTACTCGATTAGATAGTTTTATAATTTTTCGACTGTTCAAGTCTTTCTGAATGAAAATGATTAGAAACCACAGACCTAATCAATAACTAATTAGACAAAATTTTAAAATCTACAATTGATTAATTAGATTTGAAAAATTTATAATCATAATAAATTGAGTGCACAAATACGCACATAGAACGTACACATGGCATGACCTAAAAGATCGGGCCATTATTCCAAAATTTAATGAATTTATATAATTAATCAATTATTGTAGTTCCATAAAGTTTATGTTAGTTTAGACTATAATTTTTATCTTTATACAGAGTTTTTTTTTAAATCTAGAATTAATTACGAAGAAACGACGCGGTCGATTTTTACGAAAAACTTATTATAGCCAACTGAAAACTTAAGAGTTTTTGAATTTTCAAAATCGGTTCAGAAATGTCAAAATGTCGGATTATTAGAATCTTTGGATCGACCGATTTAAATGATTAACAGAACATTCCTGTTGATAAATTGGCAAAAGCAGGTCCAGCGGTTTCGGAAATACAAAAATAGTTAAAAGGTTATTAATCAGTTTGGTGATGCAGTTTTTGAAAGAACTTATCATCTGATTAGAATGTTTAAAAAAATATATCGACAGTGTAAAATAATGATTAGTTTCAAATTAACAGTATTTATAATATTTATTTAAAAAAAATGTAAACCATTGTCAATTCTCATTGATCAATTTTAATGGAGCATTTATTTAGTTACTGTTTGGATACGTTAAGATAACTACACGTTTGTATTCCTAAATAATGATTTACCTTATGCTCACATAAAAACACACAAATTTAAACAACCAGAGAATTAGCCGCCTTGCGCGAAGAAATCTATAGTAATGACAGACAATATTAGATAGTGTCCATAAGAGATAAGAGAGTAAAATGAGAGTGCCCGCAAACCACTAATCTTCTTTACTCGCTCATCAGCATAAAGAAAAACTAAATAAAAATTAAAAACTAAACTTTAAATAATAAAAATTTTTTCGGGGCCTCTTGCGAGGCCCCCCCAGGCGCGAGGCCGTCGGCGACGGCCGACACCGCCGACGCCTAGCGCCGCTACTGGTTGTCAGTATATTTAAATTGATGTAGGGTAGGTTATAGTAATCGCAAACAAATTAAAAATTTAAATTCTCATATATCTTTGCGTTTCAAAGGTTTCTGAACATTTTGGCATATCTTAGAAAAAAATGGATATGTGTGTGTGCAGATACAAATTTTTGTCGACGATTTTGGGGACACGGATCTACCAATTTTAATAATTCAAAAAGATAAAAAAAGATACAAATTTTGATTCGTTTCGAAGGTACAGGGAAAAAATTGCCTAAAACGGTTCAAATGGTTCAACTTCAATTTTTGAGAGAACGGAGGGTTCGATTTGAATAATTCAAAGACCATCTTACTAACAAAATGAAGTACCGTTCAAATTTTTGCGAAGGCAGGTCTAGCGGTTTCAGAGATCTAGTGAAAGAGTGAAAAACGCCATTTGACGCATAAAAATGATCATTAGAAATATATTAAAAAAATCAAATGTCTCAAAAAAAAAATCAAGAATCATTTTTTCTCAAGTTTTTAAAAAGTTTTGAAGGTTTTTTTTCAAAATTCAATTTCTAGTACGGGAAGTTTCAGCAGGGGAGTTCTGGTACATAAGAAAATTAAAAAAATAAAAATTACAAATAATTAAAATGACAACTATGTGAATGCATTTGAATCGATCCATTCCCATTACAACTGCATTATCACCAAATTCGAGGTTCAATTCCTACTGCTTTTCATTTCACTTGCATCGATACCAATTCCCACTAGGCTATTTGGGTAGTACAACACACAGTACATAATAATTACACAATTTCGCGACGGTGTGCGAAACGATTGCCTCTGTATACCGACCGGTCCTGCGCACATTTAAGCCGGGCGCGCGTCCCGCCGCTACTCATTCGTCGCCCGTAAAGCGAACCAAGAGGACGTTCAGAGTTTAGCCGAAGCTGCTGATACTGTGCAAAGATTCAAAATAAAATACTAAACAAAATATTGCTAAATTTAATGAAATTAATCAAATCGATTTTATTAATACAAATTTAATATTTCGTGTTAAATGGAAGAATCTCACGACGCTGACAGTGCTGAATGGGACATTACAGTGTTTTTGATAAAGACAATGATTAAACAGTGAAATGAAATAAGGGACGTTAAAGACTTTTAAAAAATGTGAAGATTTAGTTATATTGGAACTATAAGTTTTTCAATATTTTTTGCATATAATTTATTTTTGCAAATAAAAAATTGAATTTAACCAATAATTTATATTAAATTTGGTAAATTATTCATAATCATTTGCAAGGACCCAAATTTTACATTTGAAGTGTTATTGGATTTCTAACAAGCTACAAACAGGTAATTATTTATGTTACTTTATAATAATAAATAATACAATAAACTTATTATATCAATCATAAATGTCTAAAATAATTTCCGAGACAGCTAGTATATATAATATTTTATTTTTCATTATTATTATATATACTAGCTGTCTCGGTAAATATTTTAGAAAATGTGGATAATGTAGCATATAAGTTAAAGGGGAAGCTGGTATAAATAATATGGATATTTTACCCACTGCAATGCCACATAAAAATGTTCATGAAATATTAATTACCTTTGCATGTGCCATTGAATTACTAAAAATCCGGTATATTAAATGTTTTTTTAATAAAAAAAATTTAACTATTTATTTGTACGTTTTGACACTGTATGCGTGACATCATTTAAGGCCAGGAAAAAACATGAAAATTTAAATACATTAATATTTAAATTAATTAAATGAGATAATAATTAATAAATTAAAATAATAATGAAAATGCTAAATATTAAATTTATTTAGTTAGTCACATGATTATCAAAATGCAAAATCATTTTGATTAATTTATTAACAGTTTTGGTTTTTTCATGAAACAATGTGTTTGAATTTGTATATTTTTTTCTGGTTCAAGCAGAATTATGACATACATACAGTGTCAAAATGTGCAAGTGTCAAAATTTATAATAAATATTTGAATAATTCATTGCTCTTTATTTCGACTATTTGGCTGCAAATAAACAAGAATATTACTCCCATGTCAAACAAAAAATTGATTTTTTTAATATATTTATTTATATATATACATATATATATATATATATAAATTCATTTAATTATATTTTTATAAATTCAAAAATTGCGTTTTCCAATTTCTGTCCAAATAATTCAGATATTTCACAGTTGCATGTATATTAAAGTGTTTTTCATATTATTAAAAATGAGTCAAGTTTAATATATTACAGAAAACATATTTACAACTTTTTATATAAACTATTTTTATCAAATAATTTTGATTATTACCATTGAGCTATTTCCAAGTGAAATATCTACCACTGCAAACGATGAAACTGGGGCATGATCGATCTGATGCATTTTTATGCACTTTTGTTTGTGTCAATGTGAAAACGTTCTAAGAACATCTAAATATTTTTTTATATATTATGCATTAATCCATTAAGAAATTGCAACGTAATTATTACGTAAATATTTATGTAGTTAACGGTTATTACAAAAGCTTAAGGCAGCTTGCGGCTTTAGGCTTTAGTGGAATTTACACAATAATGAGGTTTGAGTTAATGTAATGGAATGGAATTATATCCGGATTAGAAATTGTAATGTAATAATTGCGAAATTGAAGCATATTATGTGATGTAAAATCAATTATTAAGACGACAAAGTAAAATTGTGCATTACTTTTATATTACCTTTACACGAATAGGGACAATTCTTTGTTATCCCATATAATGCAATACCAATTTCAAAATTGAACTGGATAAACAAATCTTTGATTTTTTACTTAAATTTAAATTTGGTACTTTTTTAAATTGCTTTAGATTTCAACATTGAAAAATAAACTTTTATATTATACTAGATTTGTACTTTTGTTATTCTAAAGATATTTAAATAAGAAACGTATTAACTAAATATGACACCAAAGGCAAAAAATATTATATACCTTAGAGCTAATCCTAGAACTGCATTGAATAAATGTTTACTAAATTAGCTTTTATTCAATTTTTTTTAGGATATTCCAAAATAAATCATTAAAACAAAGTATTCACAGTTATTAGTAGTCTAAAATGTATATATCATATACAAAAAAAAGAATAATTTCGGCATGTAACAATATCATTTAATATAACAAACTAAGCTTTTAGACAGAAGCCTCCACCGCTAATAGTATCTGTCATTACTTTTAGTAAACAAAATCAATCAAAGAATTTCATCAAAGAAATGTGTTTATTCATTTTTTATCGTTGTAAATGAAGTTTTACAATGCAAATTAAACAAAACTGAATAAGATGGAAACTGTTGTTTATTACAAACAGTTAATATATCTGTCAAAGACAATTTCATGTTTAATGAAAACATAATTTGTAAACGAACTAATTGTTTTCTGTTCAATTGAATTAACAACAAGATGAGAAGATAAAACATTTATAAGTATGTTTGTTCAGAAGAGGATTTAACTTGGATATATTTATTTGAACTATTCAATCTATTCAATCGATCTATGCCTATTTAGGAGCTTTTGTTCCTGAATAATATTATATGAATTGAGAATTCAATCAATAGTTGTTATTGAATAGAAGATTAAACCATAACCGAGTATGCATATAAAAGCTTATTGATAATTGGAAATAGAGGATAATATTCGTATTTATCGTCGAAATAATGATAGAAGATTATTTTGAATACTACATATAAAATAATTAATTAAATCATTATTTTTATTTTAGTTTGTAAAATAGTATTTTTTGTATTAAATTTTTAAATATATATTTTGTTCAGACAATACTAATAAATTCGTATGATGACGATACGTCCAATAAAATATATTTTTTATTCAATTTAAAAAAATCATCTCGATATACTAATAGTTAGTATGAGACGTTTAACATATAAATCTTTATATTCTTCTAATCAAATTGGTCAAACATAAAAGGATCAAAATAAACGCGTTTATTAAATCAGAAGCATAAGTTGAGAGAATAGTAAATATTATTTTACCTAACTAATATTCAAAATATAAAATAAATTAAGAATAAAATTCATTTTATTATCCATCAAACGACAAATATTGTGCTCATATATATTGCCAGATGCTAATATAAATTCTTCTCAAGAAAATACCTAGCAAAATTCAGTTAAATTAGATTATTCAATTAAATTTATGACGAATAATAAAATATATTTGAACTACAAACCTGAAATGAAATAATTAATAATGAACACTATTTTCTCATTGTATAGTAATTGATGTCATTTAAAAATTATGGCTTTGAAGACTTAAGAAACTTTCAATATTAACCCTTTCCACTCGCAAATTCCGAGATTTATATGAATTTTGCTGCCGGAGCGGCGGCATCCAAGTGGAAAAGGTTAAATATCAATTATTTTTGCCTTAACAATATTACTATAAATAATTTGTAGTTTATTGCTTTATAGAAACACAAGATATGGATATCAAATAGGAGATGTAAAATATCATTATATAGATGGTATCATTTATATAAATTTTATCTTTTAATATACTAAGCTAATAATAAAAACTATTTCGACGCTAAATTTGAAAGCTAATATGAAATATCGCTTTCTGCAATAGTTAAATATTTTTGAAACATTTGATAATAAAATAATTGACTGGTATAAATGACAAAATATTTAACTAAAAATAAATAGTTCATATTTTTTTTATTCAAATTTTAAACATTTTATATAAATATATGCATTTTTATGTGTGTGTGAATTAAAAACCGTTTTAAACTTAATAATCCGAAATGTTCTCCGAAAATAAACATCTCTATCTGCAACAGTGTCTGTTTCCTAAGATATTAAGTATTTTTCCTTTTGCAAAAATAGTTTGGTTTATAGCTCATGTTTAATGTTCACGAACCATAAAACTTCTTCAGAGTTATATCAGGCGTCAATTTATAAACAAATACGATTTAATTATCACACTGAAGTTCAATATCAAGTATATGTATTTCTACAGCCGATATTTTAATGTCGTAAAACTATTATAAAAACAAAAAGCTGACTTGTTTGATTCTATGGTATCTAAATTTGATGTGTGAACTATTTTATGGTGTTTTAATATCAAAATCCTGATTTTTTATGAATGGTTTTTATTAGTATTGCTAACATCGAAAAAGAAATGATGATTTTATTAGATTTTATGTGGAAAATTGTATATCAATATTATAAATAATAATGGATAGCCCAAATCTAGTTATCAACAAAAACTAGTAGACAAGAACCGAATTTATACCAAGAGTACTTAAATTTGTGAAGACAAATAATATCTGAATATAGAAAATGTGAGAACTACAGTAATCTTAAAATATTTTTTCCCAAATCTATTATGATTAAGTTTCTAATCTTGTTAAAACAAATTTAAATCTTTTTTGCAATTCTTCATCGATTCATTTCTATAACTATATTTCTGAAGGTGAATGTTTATGTGAAAAAAAGCTGACGCAAATCAATCGATTTAATTATTTACATGCGTTTGTTTTTGCTTGTGTGTAACAACTGCACTAAATAAATAAACTAATTCAAATTTTACAGCTTGTCCAAAATAAACATCGACTGTTGAAACCAGGAAAAATAAACTCAATTTGCATAATTATTTATGTTTATAGTTGTGCGCACTTTTCGACATATATAACAATTAAATTATGCTAAAATAATAAAAAGTCATATACAGCAAATATATTGCAACAACACTTCACCTATATTCCAAAATTTATAAACAAAAAAAATTACCAAAAGCAATGGTTTCATCAACATAAGCAGAAAGTTTTTCAAACCATTCAAATCGGATGTTGAGCCAGTTTTTGAATATTTAGCTCCGTATCTCCGAAACGGCTAGATCTGCCTTTGGAAAAATCTAATCACCACTTCTTTCCATCATTACGAATTGAATCTTTTTTTGCTAATTTAAATTGGAGCTTTGTTCTCTCAGAAACTAGATAGCTATTTTCGGCACTCTTTGCTCTGTATCTCCGAAACGGCTGGACTTGTCTTCGGCAAAAACTAATCAGCACATCTTTCTATCAACAGGAATCGAACATTTTTTGAATCATTCAAATCGGTTGCTCCTTATGCCCGAAAACGTGGACAAAATGTTGTATCCATAATTCTATACACACATCCATTTTTTTCTAAAGTATACCAATATGTTCAGAAACCTTCAAAACATGAAGATATGCAAAAAATTTCATTTACCATTTTTAGACGATTACAATAACTTACCCTACGGCAAGTTAATAATACACCGATGATCTATTTCTATTTTCTTATTTGACATTCA